TCTGGAAGAGCAGCCTCTGGCATTTTGTTTTCAGGCGCACTCAGAAAACCTCCGTATGTTAGGTACATTTGATGAGCTGCTTCATGCAGGCGACACCTGGGATTCCTGGAGTTTTATAAAAGGAAGTTCTCCTTGGGTGTGGGTGTGAGCTCAGTAGATCTGAAACCGTCTGTGTCCGCAGCAGCTACCTGTAGGGTGACTCCCTTTACCCTGAATGACAGTGGAGCACACAGACTGGAGGAGAGGGAGGGAACCTTGGTAGCGTTCTCACTGTGACCCTGGCAGCTGCCCTTGTCTCACTGTGCTCCAGCACTCTTAGGGAGTGTCTGGTGGGGGGGTCCTTGGCTCCTGTCGTGACTGTTAGTGGATCCCAGTCTGTCCCCAAAGCCCAAGTCTTTCCACCCTCGGAGCTGCTTTCTGTTGCCTGCTGGGATCTTAAATGTCTGTTTCTGTACATCACTGTTTCCTAACTTGGCTATATCTGTGATATCATCCAGTGTTTTCTGACCCTTTATTTTTTCCCTAAGAGTTAATACCCAGAGTTTCTTCAGTTTGTATTACTCAGCTTTTGGATAGTTTGTTTCATGGCACTTATGGATGGTACCAGAGATGGTCCATTCGTAGCATGACGTGTGTGAGCTGAGGGGGAAGAGATCACTCATTATGTGATGGAGCTCTTCTGAGAAACGTACTCCCCTCTTCAGGCAACATTATTGGGGAACGCTAACCTGGACTAAAGTCTTTTTTTTTTAATCCTCGCCCAAGGATATTTTTACATTTATCTTCAGATAGAGTGGGAGAGAGAGAGAGAGAGAGAGAGATGTGAGCCAGACACATCAATTGGTTGCCACCTGCATGACCCCAACCGGGGCCAAGGATGAACCGCAACCGAGGTGCGTGCTCCTGGCCGGAATCGAACCTGGGACTCTTTGGTCCTTGGGCCAGTGTTCTAACCGCTGAGCCAAACTGGCCAGGGCAAGTCATTTTTTTATATATTATATATGTTTTTATTTATTTTTTTAGAAAGAGAGAAAGGAAGGGAGAGAAGTAGAAACATCGATGTGAGAGAGAAACATCAATCAGCTGCCTCCTGCACACCCCACACTGGGGATCTAGCCCACACCTGGGCATGTGCCCCGACCAGGAATCAAACTGGGACCTCTTAGTCCATGGGACATGCTCAATCCACTGAGCCACACCGGCCAGGCTAAAGTCTTTTTTTCCCAAAGAACAGACCTGTGTCTTCCTTTCCAGTATGTTACCTAGAATTGAACACTCTTCTACAGGTGATTTTCCTGAGGCTCACATTGGTCATTTGCAGATAGCTTACTTCCCCCTCACTGGCTGGGCTTGCTCTGAGGTTGGAACATGTAAATGCAGGTCAGTGAGGCATACCGAGAGGTGACTTTGCCAGTCATGAACGCTTTAAAAAAATGCAGTGGGTAGAATGAGTTTGACAGACATTTATCAAGTACCTCATATATGCTGGACGTGGATTGTGCTGGCCGTGGGAGATGGGAAGAAGGCAGAGGTGGAGCTTACCTTCTCGGAATGGCCCGTCTCCAGTGGGAGAGACACTGCAGCGAAATGTGCGAGTGCAGTGAGCAAGGTGTGCACAGAGTGCTGTGGAAGTAAGTGGGTCCTGAAGGGCGGCTTGGCCCAGCCAGGCGAAGACAGGAGTGAGTGACATTCAGGAAGAGCGCAGGGATTAGACAAGGGCACCGAGGGCCTGGCAGGGCCTGTGCAGGGCGTGTCCTCGCTCAGCATTTCCGGCTCAGTGGGAAGATAGAGGGCTAAAAGTTCAACTAGACAGACTGGCAGAAGCCAGGCCTTTCTGGCTTTCCATGCTGGATTGAAGAACATGGACGTGGCCACCAGGGTAGCATTTTAGAGGGGTTATTGGAGCAGGCAGACCCCCTCGATGTGGGCAGTAGACCAGGTAGGAGGCGTCCTCTGGACAGAGCTCTGCTATCTGGCAGCCTGGAGTTCCCAGGCTGAGCCCCACTTCTGGGTTGTTCCTTCAGCAAGGCCGACTGATAGCCACCATCTGTCTCTTACCCGCAGCCATTCATGCCTCTCTTAATCCAAATAGCTATAAAAGTGCATTTTTTTATTACTGATTTTAGAGAGAGAAGAGAGAGAAACATCTTTTTTTTAAATCTTCACCTGAGGATATTTTTTTTATTTATCTTAATATAGAGTGGGAAGGAAAGAGAGGGAGAGAAAGGGAGAGAGAGAGAGAGACAGACATTGACGTGAGAGGGACACATTGACTGGTTGCCTCCCACATGACCCGACCAGGGCTGGGGCTAACCGCAACTGAGATTCGAGCCCTTGGCCAAAATCGAACCCGCGACTCATTGGTCCTCAGGCTGACGCTCTGCTGCTGAGCCAAACTGGCCAGGGCGAGACATCACTTTGTTGTTCCACTTATTTGTGCATTCATTGATTGCTTCTTGGTGTTCCCTGACCAAAGATCAAACCTGCAACCTTGGTGTATTGTAACGATACTCTAACCAACTGAGTTACCCAGCTAGGGTAAAAGTACGTATTTTAAATCCTCATTCTAAAGTTTTTAAAAATTGTGGCTCAGACCAGTTGTCTTGCCAGAGGGGTGAGCTGAGGTTTACCTGCTGCATTGCTCTCTGAGGGTGAGAACATGCCCATCCAACCCTGGACATTGCCTTTCTTGGGGTAAAAGGGTAAAGTCAATGTGTGCACAGCAGGGCCCAGCAACACTTTACTTTCAGGGGACCTGTGTAGAAAACGCTCACTTTACAGGGATTGAATTGGCAAGAAAAGACCACATTGGTTTCTTTGAAATACTCTCGTTTCCATGTGTATGTAAAATGGAGCGGCGTGCCATATATGTGACTAAGGGAATGCTTGCTGCCAGGCAAGAGTTCATATTGAGATGCATGGACGGGCCGAGCCTGCTGCCTGGCCAACTCGAGTCGCTTGCTATAGAGGCATCAGAGGCAGGCTGGGCTGGCTCTGTAGGGCCGAGAGCCCTTGAGCTAGAAGAATTGCTGCAGAACACCAGAGAATCCTTCTGCAAATAGTCATTCTACCTCCCATCCCTCACCACCCTTCCTCCACCTAACCCTGGCTAACTGCAGGAAGCTCCTCAGGGGGCGGACTCCCACCCTCTGGCCCCGGCCTGCCTCACTGCTCACCGCTCTTTCCCGGGCCTCCGCGTCTCCGTGCCGCGCTCAGCATGGACCACCCCCGCCTACCCCGCCCGTGAGGGCAGGGCCCGGGCCCCGCTGTCCTCACCTCTGGTCCCAGCTCTGAGCTCTGACCCTGACACACAGGATGGAATGAACGCACACACAAAGCACCGATGGAAGGCGGGGAGGAGAGGGGTGAGAAAAAAATTGCTGAGGCTTTGAAATTCTTACAAATCTTTTGAGCTTTTTGAGAGTAGGACATGACTCTTTTTAAAATAAAATTACCTCTCCTGTGCTTTACAGCAAAGCCTGACCTTTTACGTATGTAAGAAGCACAGGCAAATCTTAGATGCTCTTGACACTTGTCTCCTCACATGTATACACTATTTACCCTTGAACCATGCTCACCTAGGTCTCCATTTGGCTCTCGAAAGGAATAATATGTAATCCCAGTGTACGCCCCCACAGGTGTATGTGTTGTGTTCATGAGCATGCTGGCCAGGTGATATGGGGGTGAGGGAGTGATTTTATTTAATGAGACACTTAGCCTTTGGTCAGTGCCTTAAGGAAATAGCCAGTCCTCCCAGGGAAAGTCCAAAAGCTCCCCAACAAGAAAAAAATGTGACTGAGAATTCAGAGAAGTAGAGCTTCTTTAAACAACAGATCCTCAGGCAGCCAGGAGGGGGACATTCAGCCAGCAGTAAGCATTGGACGTCTGGTAAGTGCCCAGCCTTGCTGTGTACTTGAGTTGTTCTGAAGAGCAGAACACCAGAGAAGAACCTGATGGAGTGACCGGTGCATGGCTGGCACTAATAAACATGTCAGATTTTCACTCTGTTTTGTAAGAAAACGCATACTTGGTTATAGCTTGGTGTCTTTGTATTTCGTTTTTGTATGTATTCCTTGCCATTAATAATAGTGATTGCCGTTTACTGAACATCTGGTATATCTCAGTCCCACTCTTCACATGATCTGTTTCTTACGGACGAGGAAGTGGAATTGGCATATGTGAATGGTGTTGCTGGGGTCTGTTTCCGGCTCTCTGAGCCCAGCCCCCGGCTCTTCCTTTGCCCTGGGTTTTATATTCAGCTTCCACCTTCATTGGGAGCGTCTCTGGCCCTGCTAGTGACTAGAGAACATATACTTCGTGTGTCCCCGTGTGATGCGATCCCTCCGGGGGTCAGGCTGCTCCTTTGGCCATGAGCTGATTGCATGAGCAGACTCTTAGACAAGCAACTTTCACCAGAGGCTCCTCAGGAAGACACTTGGCAGCTAGGTACCTCCATGGAAATCTAAGTGTAGAGGTCACCCTGACTGGCCTGCAGGTTTCTTCTCTCCAGTTATTTCTGTTGCGGGTGGCCCACAGGACACTGGAGAGCATTTGTTTTCAGGTCTGATCTTCTAGGGCAGACTCTCAAATGTACCTGCATGTGAGAATCCAAGTGCTTAAAGCAGTTGCTGGTCCCAGCCAGTCTTCAATGCAGCAGGTCCAGGTGGGCCCTGAGAAAGTGTCTTTCTAACGCGTTCTCGAGGATGTGGCGGCTACAGTGGAGGGGGTCAGGGGAGGCTCCCCTCGGAGAACCACTCTTCTAAGGTTTTTGCCAAAATCCCCTATACCTGTCTTCCCATGTCCCCCACTCCCCTGTAAATTACCCTTCAAACCACTTTGCTTTTAACTTCTCTAACTAAGTTAGCCAGAGGAAGTGACAGCTGCTGGGGCAGTATTAAGTGAAGTGTGTCATTTGGCCTCCAAAGTTATGCAGCACTGTTCTGGGTCTTGCTCCTCTCACGGCAGGTGGCACTCGCTCACTGGGGAACCCTGTGTTTCAGGTGGTACGAGCTGCTGAGGAAGCTGCGTCCACTCTGGCCAGTTCCATCCACCCAGAGCAGTGCATCAAAGTCCTCTGCCCCATCATCCAGACTGCCGACTACCCCATCAACCTTGCTGCCATCAAGATGCAGACCAAAGTCGTCGAGAGGATCGCCAGGGAGTCCTTGCTGCAGCTCCTGGCTGACATCATCCCGGGCTTGCTGCAGGTAGGCCGTGTGGCCGGGCACAGCTGCTTCGCAACGCAAGGGGTGTGGGGACTTCGCTCTCGTCCTGTGAAGCAGGGTAGGTAGGAAAGGCCAGGCGACCTGTGTTTTGGAACCCAGGAGGCTGTGTGGCATGGATACCTCACACCTCTCGTCTCCCAGTCCGCCCTCTCCTGGGTGCAGCAGGAAGGTGCTCCTGGCAGCCTAGACTGTGGCTTACAGAGGACCTTCATTTACTGTAAGCATATGTGGTTCATTCTTTCAATAAACCCTGATTGCATCTGTGGGCCCCAGCCCTGGGCATGCAGGCCATGGAGTGCAAAGTCAGGTAATGGTCCTTGCTCTCATACATCCAGTAAATGTTGACTAAAACTCTTCTAAGCAGGAGACATTGAAGTAGACGGGCTCTGGAAGGTAAAGAATGGTTTCCACAGTTCGGCACTACCCCGGGGATGTTCAGCCTGTGGTGGGACAGAGGTGCTGGTTCCGTGTGCTGAGCTCCCATAGGGAGGTGCCCGCTGACAGCTCTGAGGTCAGAGGTGGGGAGGTGCTTTCCGGAGCAGGGTAGCAAAGAGAGAATCTCATGATGCTTCTGGAGCAACACTGCTGTGACGGTCCCTTGTGAAGCAGCCTTGTGGGGGCAGAGCGGGCTGTAGCCACCAGCCTCCTCCCACACCAGCAGCCAGCTCACTCTTGACCCTATTACGTTTTGGACTCTTTGGGGTGAAAGCTCTCTGGGTTCAGTTGCAACCCAGAGTTAAGTTATATCCTGATTGTTTTTGACAAGTCCAAGGTTGATTATAAGGGCACTTGTGGAAATGTCAGAATACTGACTATGAAGCAAGTCTCTGATACGTCTCCTTTTTGTGTTCCCTTCTGACTCGTAGGGTTACGACAACACTGAAAGTAGTGTGCGGAAAGCCAGTGTATTTTGCTTAGTAGCAATTTATTCTGTAATCGGAGAAGAGCTGAAACCTCACCTCGCACAGCTCACGGGGAGTAAGGTATGTATAGTGTTACGTGACTGATGCACACAGCTGGGCTCTGCCAGCCTGTCATACATTCGCTTGTCCGCAGTTCTGGACCCCGGGCAGGCTTTGCTTGTCATGTGTGTGTTGTCGTTGGACCTCGTTTCTCCAAAGCACTTCTTCTAAAGATAAAAATGACCAGCTATATAGTGAAGTCATTTTAAGTTATTACGTAGTGTGTTGTAACTTCTGTTTTTGAAATAATTTTGAGCTTCTAGTTTATTTCCAAAGGGAAGTTGACTTTGTTTAGAAACCAGCTTGTCTTTTTTCATAGAAACACTAAAGAAATGTACCTGCTACCTTAACATATTGCTCAGTAGGGGCTGGGTTGCTGGTGGGCATCCACAGTGCTGATAGCTGACGCTTACCTTGTGCCTGCCCAGCCCCAGGCACTGTTCTATGCATTTTGCATTTGTTGACTCATTTAAATGTTCATGACAACATCCCCGTGGGATAAGGGCATTGTCCTTCGTTAAACCTGTCCAAGAGCACACAGTGATCTTAACTCCAGAAGCCAAGATTTTAACTCATGCTGCCTCTCATGTTTCTTTAAGAGTATTTTAGAATCGGGCAGAAAATAAAACAAAAGAGATCCAGAATCATGGAAGTAGGGAACAGACTAACAAACTTCTGATGTGGGATTTGGGGGAGGGAAAAAATAAACCAAAGAACTTATATGCACAACCAATCTGCAGGGACACTAGGCTGGGGAAGGCGGGGGGGGGGGGGAGCAGGTCAATGGGGAAAAAAGGGGGACATCTGTAATACTTTTAACAATAAAAACAAAAAAGCTATTGTGAAACGAAAAGAAAACAGAAGGACTATTTGGCTTATTGAAAATGAGATTGGCTAGAGTGATTATTGGTTTAAACATAACCTCAGATCTGATGAACCTGCCACGTGAGAGAAGGTAAAACCCCCAGGAAGGGAGCTGGCCTGTCATCTCATTTGACCCTTCTAATAAGGAACTGAGAAAATACAGGTGTTTTCTCACCCCTGTTCTGTGGGTGACGCGGCTGCTGCCCCGCTCGGTGTGGCCTGGGTCGGGAGCCCACATCCTGATCAGGAGCCAGCACTGCCCTCCCCACACTGCAGCTTCAGTCAGGGGGCTTGGGGACCTGGCCCTAGCGCTGGTCTGGTTTGGTGGCCAGTTCATCTAGCCTTTACAATTTTTAGATGTGATAACTCTGATATGTTGTTATGAACTAAACAACCCCCTTCAGAAAAAAAGACTAGCTAAGTCGGTCTCCTAGACTAGAAACAAAGAGAATCAGGTTGTAGCTTCCTGTTTCTCTGTATAATCAGGCCTATCAGAACCCTCTACTTAGCTGAGGTTAATAAATGATGTCAGCTTCTGTAGAGAAAGGCTCAATGCAAGGACAGCGAGGGTAGGAAGGAACTAACCTGTGGGTACATTTTGAGCAGTGTCCCATTGTCATGGCAGCAACACTAGCTTTGGGGTCAGTCTCTGCCCCCAACTTACTAGCTGTATGATTCTGAGCAAGCTTTCTTCTAGCAATTATTTTTACTGTGATAAAATGCACATAACATAAAAATTTTTTTCTTAACCATTGTAAGTGTACAGTTCATTGACAATAAGTGCATATTGTTAGGCAACTATCACCACCATCCATCTCCAGAACTCTTCATCTTGTAAATCTGAAATTCTACCCATTAAACAAAAACTTCCCATCCCGCTCTCTTCCCAGCCGCTGGCAACCAGCATTCTACTTTCTGTCTCTATGAATGTAACTATTTGGGTGCCTTGTAAAAGTGGAATCATCCAGTGCCTGTCTTTTTGTGACTGCTTATGTTGTAGCATGTGTCAGAATTCCCTTTTTAAGGCTGAATAATAATAATCCATTTGTTCTACATACAACATCTTGCTTATTTATTTCTTGGTAATATACACTTGAGTTATTCACATCTCTGGGTATTGTGAATGATGCTGCTATGAACATGAGTGTACACATACCTCTTTGAGACCTTGCTTTCAGTTCTTTTGGATACATAGCCAAGAGTGGAATTACTCGAGCATATGCTAACTGCCAAACTGTTTTCCACAGTGGCTGCACCATTTTACACTTCCACCAAAAGTGTGCAAGGGTTCCAATTTCTCTACATTCTCGCTAACACTTGTTTTCTCTTTTTGATAGTAGCCATACTAATGACTGGTGTGAAGTGGTACCTCATTGTTTTGATTTCCATTTTCTTATTGATTGGTGCATTGAGAATCTTTGTATATGCTTGTTGGCCAGTTGTCTATCTTCTTTGGAGAAATGTCTATTCAACTCCTTTGCCCTTTTTTGAATTGGATTGTTCAGTGTTTGTTATTGTTGAGTTCTAGAAGTTCTCTATATTCTGACTATTAATTCCTTGTCTTTTATGCACAAGTTTTTAAATTTTCATAAAGTTCAATTTGTCTATTGCTTTTGTGGCTGTTCTTTTGGTATCATATCCAAGAAATCATTCTAAATCCAGTGTTGTGAAGCTTTTGCCCTGTGTTTTCTTCTGAGAGTTTTACAATTTTAGCTCTTACATGCAGGCCTCTGATCCATTTTGAGTTAATTTTTGTGTAGGTGTTAGGTAAGCGTCCAACTTCATTCATTTGCTTGTGGATATTCAGTTTTCTCAATACCATTTGTTGAAAAGACTACCCTTTTTTAAATTTAATGGTCTTGATACCTGTGCCAAGAATTATTTGACCACATATATAAGGGTTTATTTCTGGGCTCTCTTTTCTGTTCCATTGGTCTATATATCTGTCTTTATGACAGTAGCACGCTGTATGTTTTGACTGCTGTGGCTTTGTAGTAAGCTTTGAAATCAGAAGTGTGAGACCTTCAGGTTTGTTCTTTTTCTACATCATTTGGCTTTAGGGTCTGTTGAGATTCCTATGAATTTAAGGTTCATTTTTCATTTCTTCAAAAATCTTTGGGATTTTGATAGGGATTTTATTGACTCTAGATAGCTTTGGGGGTCATATTGACATCTTAACAATATTGTCTACCACTCCATGAACATAGGGTGTCTTTTTTTTTCTTTATTGATTTTAGAGAGAGAGGAAGAAAAAGGGAGAGAGAGAGAGAACATTGATTGGCCGCCTCCTGCATGCCTCCCACTGGGGATCTGGCCCACATCCTGGGCATGTGCCCTGACCGAGAATGGAACCAGTGACTCCTGGTGCATGGGTCGATGCTCAACCTCTGAGCTACACCGACCGAACAGGTGTCTTTCTATTCACATATGTCTTTAATTACTTTTAGCAATATTTTATAGTTTTCACTGTTATAAGTCTTTTACTTTCTAGATTTAGTTAATTCACAAGTATTTTGTATGCTTTTGGAAATGGAAATTTTTTTTTAATTTTCTGCTCATTTGTTAGTGTATAGAAATGCAACTTAATTTTGCTCATTGATTTTTGTATTCTGCTACTTTGCTGAATTTGTTTATTAGTCTTAAAATTGTGTGTGTGTGTGTAATCTTTAGGATTTTCTACATATAAGATCATCTACAAACAGATAATTTTACCTTCTTTTGATTGTGAATACCTTTTGTTTCTTTTCCTGCCTAATTGCTCTGGCTGGAACTCAACTGTACTATATTGAGTAGAATTGGTAAAAGCAGGCATCCTTGCCTTGTTCCTAATCTTATAGGAAAAGCTTTGTCTTTCCATTGAGCATAATGTTCACTTGTAGGCTTTTCATATATAGCTTTGGATATGTTGAGGTAGTCTTCTGTTCCTAGTTTGTTGAGTATTTTTATCATGAAAATGTGTTGAATTTTGTCAGATATTTTTTCTGCATTGATTGAGATAATCGTGTGGGTTTTTATTTTCCTTCATTCTGTTAATATGATGTATAATATTGATCAGTTTTCATATGTTGAACCATCCTTGCATTTCAGGAATGTATCCCACTCGGTTATGGTATATAATGTTTTTAATATGCTGTCAAGTACTGTTTGTTAGTCTTTTCTGGAAGATTTTTGCATCAGTGTTCATAAAGGAGCTGTAGTTTCTTGTAATGTCTTTGTCTGGCTTTGGTATCAGGACAATGTTGACCTCATAGCATGAGTTTGAAAGTATTTTTTTCTCTTTAGTTTTCTGGAAGTATTTGAGGAAGGCTGTGTTCTCTAAATGTTTGGTAGAACATTTGAAGTAAAGCCATATGGTCTCTGTCAAGAGATTTTTTATTACATTTTAGTCTCCTTACTAATTACAGGTCTCTACAGTTTTTTTCTTCATGATTCTGTCTAGGTAGGTTTTGTGTTTCTAGGAAATTGTCTTAGCTATCTTAAATTTGTTAGTATACTATTATTTGTAGTATTTTTTGTAATCTTTTGTTGTTGTTGTTGTTAACAGTATTATAGATGTCCCCCTACAAGCCCCCCCCCCCCGCTGCCCTTCCAGCCCTATTCCACTCCAGGCCTTGACTTCTGTTGAATCAGTAGTAACATACACACATTCATTTCTGATTTTAGTAATTTGAGTCTTCTCTCTTTTTTACTTTGTCAGCTTAGGTAAAGATGCGTCAATTTCTTTCTTTTCTTTTTTTTTTTTCAAAGAATCGACTTGGTTTCATTGATTTTTTTTTTCCTTCTATTTTTCTGTTTTATTTATTTCTGCTCCAATCTTTATTTCCTTCTTTCTACTAGCTTTGAGTTTAATTTATTCTTTTTCTAGTTTCTTGAGATGGAAAGTTATATTGTTGTTATGGGATCTTTCTTAATATGAGCATTTACAGTTGTAAATATCCCTCTTTGCATTCTGTTGGTGCATCTCATAAGTTTTGGTATGTTGTGTTTTTATTTTGTTTCAGGGTATTTTCTAATTTCCTTTTTGACCCATTGGTGGTTTAAAAATGTGTTAAATTTCTACAGATTTGGTGTTTTTTTGGGGGGGGGTTAGTTTTCTTTTTGTTATTGATTTCTAATGTCATTTGTTGTGGTCAGAGAAGATACTTTGTATGATATTTATCTTTTAAAAACTGATGAGCCCTGGCCCAGTATCTTAGTTGGTTAGCGCAGCGTCCCAGTATGCCAGGTTTGTAGGTTCAACCCACAGTCAACCTATGAACATAGAAATAAGTGGAACAACAAACCGATGTTTTTTTCTCTCTCTCTTTCTCTGTTCCTCTCTCTCTCAAAAAAGAAATCAATAAAAAAATCTCTTGAGATTTAATTTGTGTCCTAACATATAGCCTGTCCTAGAGAGTATTCCATGTGCACTTGAAAAGAATTTCTCTTCTGTTGTTGTTGGGTAGAAGTTCTGTGTGTCTGTCAGATCTATTGGCTTATTGTGTTCACATCTTTTATTTCCTTACTTATTTTCTTCCTGGTTCTTCCCATTATTAAGAGTAGGGTAAGGAAGTCTCTAGCTATTATTGTAAAATTGTTTCTCCCTTCAGTTCTGTCAGTTTTTACTTTAAATATTTTGATGTCATGTCATTAGATGCATAAATGCTTATGATTGTTACGTTTCTGCTGTATTGATCTTTTATTAATATATAATGTCCTTTGTTTCTTGTAACCTTTTTTTTTAATTGATCTTTTAGAGAGAGGGGGAGAGAGAGAAACATTGATGTGAGAGAAACATCAATCGGCTGCTTCCTTCATGCCCTCCACTCGGTATTGAGCCCACAACCTGGCATGTTCCCTGACCAGGAATGAACTGGAACCTCTCAGTCCATGGGACAGTGCTCAGTTCACGGAGCCACACTGGCTGTGCTCTTGTAGTCGTTTTTGATTTAAAGTCTACTTCGTCTGATATTAGTGTAGCTACCCTATGCTCTTGGTTACTGTTTGCACGGAATATCTTTTTCTGTTCTTTCATTTTCAACCTTTTTGTGTCTTTGAATCTAAAGTGAATTGTATTTTGTTGTTTTGTTTTTGTAGACAGCATATAGTTGAATCATGTTTTTTCTATCCTCTCTGTCAATCTCTGTCTTTTGGAGAGTTTAACTCATTTACATTTAAAGTGATTAAAGTAACCATTGATAAAGGAGAGAGACTTCTGTCATCTTGGTATTTTCTATATGCCTTAAAGCTTTTATTGTCCCTCATTTTCTGTATTACTGTCTTTTGTCTTTGTTTGCTTTTTGTACTGAAATATTTTAATTCCCTTCTCATTTCCTTCTGTGTATATTCTATAGCTGTTTTCATTGTGGTTATTGTAGGGATTACATTTGATATTCTTACATTATAAATACAAATTAGACTCTTATACCAGCTAATGAGCAAGCTTTCTGAACCCCAGCTTTTTCATTTGTAAAATAGGAGAACCTGTTCTACCTACCTCAAAGGAAGATTTTTGTAAGGCTCAAATACAATAGTCAGTGTAAAAGCTTCTTGTGGATTGTTAAACATGTACACCTCATTAACTCTATTGTCATCTTTCCCTTGTACTTATAGTTGTATTCTAGACTTGGCTGGGTGGATACATTAGAGGTTCTGAATTGCAATATTTAGTAACTCATTTTTAACTGGACTTTCATAGAAATATCTCTTGGCTTTTAGATAATTTCTTTTTTTTTAAAGTTGCCCTGGCCAGTTTAGCCCAGCGATTAGAGCATCGACCCGTGGATTGAAGAGTTGCAGGTTTGATTCCAGTCGAGGGCACGTACCTTGGTTGCAGTTCAATCCCCCTGGTTGGGGTTATGCAAGAGGCAACCAATCAGTGTCTCTTTTTTGCATCAATGTTTCTCTCTCTCACTTTCTGTCTGTCTCCATCTCTCTCTACCTCTCCCTCCCTCCCTCCCACTCTACCTGAAAATAAATGGAAAAATATCCTTGGGTGAGGATTTAAAAAAAACAAAAACTCTTTCATTCAATAAGTATGTGGTAGGAACCTGCTTTCTTCACTTCATTATGCAAGGCATGTGGGAAAAGCAGAAGCTCATCCTGTTTTGCCTGGAGTAGCATAAAATACAGCCAGGGTGTAGGGCTGGTACACGAAACACAGCAGCCCAGAGTGGCGGCACGCAGTCAGCGGGCTCTGACTGCTGGCCCTGGCCCGTTGGAGCAGGAGGAAAGGGAGAGACTTCTTGGAAGAAGTGGGACCAAACTGGCTGGGCTTGGCTGCATAGGAGGGAAGAAGGAGCAAAAAGGAAGGAACAGTGTGAACAGTAGGAGGGGCTGTCCAGAGGACACGTTTTCTGAACCAGGAGCTACAGAAGGCACCTTGGAAGAGTTACTGCTCCTCATTACGCAAGAGTGGAAGTTGAGGCTCAAGAAATGTTTTGTCTGCGGTCACGTAACTAGGGGAGATGAAGCTGGTTCTACCTCAGGCCAGGGTTGTTCATTGTGCTAGGGTTTCCCTTGAACCTGGTTGGCCCTGGAGGTGTCACCAAGCTTCAGAGCATTCAGATCCTATGAAAGTGATGGCATTTTCACCACAGCACTGACATTCTATTAAAAGTTTTAAGATTTTAAAGGTGGGGAATGAAAAGCACTGATAGCTAGTGGGAGTTAACGTGACATAACCTGCTGCAGATGCAAGGGGGAAGGCAGCACCGCGGGGCTGCGTGGGAGACGCCAGGAGTGGGCTGTGCACGAGCAGCCGTCTCCGGATGCTCGCCGCGGACTTCCTTTGTGGAAAAGCCACAGCACCCCTGGGTGTTCGGTCCCTGCGTGCGCACGATGGATAGCACCTGGGGCCGGGCCCAGCAGACCCCACCTCTACTAGGAGCTCTCCAGCTGCTCTGCCTGTTCCCACAGGTCTTCAGAGGGCCCTTCCTTCTCCTGCACCACACACACCGCCTGGAGCACCTCCTGGTGGGCCCTTGGAGATCACCTTCTCCTCTAGGTGGCCTGACTATTGTCTTAGCTTCACAGCCTGTTTAGAGCAAGGCAGGTGAAAGGCTATGGATAGTAAATATTTCATAATTCTCTTAATCTTACAAGTTGTGTTTTACATAGATTTTGTGGACATTCCGTTTCTGCAGAAGCTGTTTACTCTTAGTATGCTTTGGCAGGTTATTGACATAACATTAACTTAGTGGCACTCCACAAGCATTTACGAACCTGCTGTGTTGCATGTTCTTTTCTTTGAGGGTTCAGGGGGACTTGAGGTAAAGCAGACGAGGTCTCAGCTGTGAAAGCCCTTTCATTGTAAAGCCCTTTCATCTGTGCCCGTGGGAGGGGCTGCTGGTGGTGACACAGTGTCTGGTGTCAGGAGGTCTGATCTGGAAGGAGCAAGGAGTCCACTGCTCCCTGTAGCATGAGGTGGCAGATGCTAGTTGAAGGGAGAGAGTGCCACGGGAGCGGAAGGGAGGGGTGATCGCATCCAAGTGAGCAGACGGGAGACACCGCACGGAGGTGGCCTTGGAGATAGGTCTCGATGCACAGTGCTTTCGTTGATGTCAGTAGACAGAATGGGGGTGGAGAAGGAGGGTGTGCCAGGTGGAAGGAACACCTAGGGTAAAAACTTGACCTCTAACCTTGGCTGGCGTGGCTCAATGGTTACAGGCTCAGTGATTCCGGGTCAAGTGCATGTACCTGGGTTGCAGGTTCAGTCCTGGCCCTGAGGAGGGGTGGGGGTGGGGCTGGCGCTGGCGGGCAGGCGGGCAGGTGGGAGGCAACCAATTGATGTCTCTCTCTCTTTCACTCTCTCCCTTCCCTTCCACTCTCTCAAAATCAGTGGAAAAAATGTCCTCCAGTGAGGATTAACAAAAATATTTTAAAAACAAAACAAAAACACTTGACGTCTAACTTGGCTTGGTTACTTGATCCCTGTGGAGCATGGGCTCTGCCCTGCTTTCCATCTTGGACAGAGCCATTGGCTGCAGTCACCCCAAAATGTGTGGATCTGTCCTTCATGCAGCTTTTCAAAGGGGGGCCCTTCTTTGTAATAACCCATTGCATTCTCTCTCCTCTGGACCTGGCCTTCTTTCTGTCTCTGTGGCCCTGGAGGGTGTTGGGTGAGTAGTAGACACTCAGTAAATATTTCTGTAATAAATTTCTCAATTAAGGGACATGCTGTTTCTTATTGTCACCTGGATTTTTTTCCTGTTTTCGGCTTCCCGATTGTCTCACCTCCTAATCCAGTGTCTCTTCTCTTTGCAGATGAAGCTGCTAAATTTATATATAAAGAGGGCCCAGACCACGAACAGCAACAGCAGCTCCTCCTCCGACGTCTCCACACACAGCTAATGACAACGCAGTCTCTGTAGCCCCAGAACCCTCGGTGGTGCCTCTCAGAGACCTTCCCCACCCCCTCGTAGGCTCCCGGTCAGGACGAGGAGGCCACAAATATTTATTACAATCAGTATTTTGGTCCCTTCCAGCTTTTGTGTAGAATCTTACTGGCATTGAATGTAAAGGAAGCAAGGCCTGCTTTGCAGTCGTACAAAGCAAGTAAGAAAGGAAGAGCCATACAGTCTTCTGCAGCCTGCTGAGACCATGACCACGGTGTGGTGCAGTTTAGAAACCCGCGAGCCCTCTAGCCTGCACCTGATAGGAAGTGACCTTTCTCTTCGGTGAACAGAGCTGAGGCTGTGCCCGTCTGTGTTTCTCTCCCATCCTAGCGTCCTTTGTTCTGGATGTGGCCCGTGGAGGGGTTGGTTGTATGTCGTTTCATTGTATTTTGAGACCTACTAAGAATGTGAATCATGTCTTGGCAAGAAATGGAGAAAAATCTGAAGGTGACCTTTGAACAGACACCTGGAATTTGCTTATGACACCTAGACTCAAGGCTGACTGCCCCACATCAGTTCACTGAAGGCACCTTGCGGCTTCCCTCCGACGGCTGCCCGCCCTCTGAACGGTGCCATGACGCTCGCTGTCTGTCCCCACCACAGAGCTTCCACTCAGAAGAACCCTCAGAACGTTTATATCCAGATACCAAAATCAGTTAGTGGCGTTTCAGGGATGGAAGATGTGAGAGGTGGTTTGTTCCACTGCTGAGGTCTGAGGAAATGCTACTTTGATGGGTCTCTCTGACGGGCCCCATCTCCTGCCCTCTCCCCAGCATCCGCCTGAGCCGCCCGAGTCTGGGGGACGGCACTGCACCATCTCCGCTCTCTGTTCTCTGTAGTTTGGGATTGAGATCAAAGAAGAGACCAGGTATCAGAATTATTGTTGTTAATTTTATGGACTGAAGTTCTTTGATCATCTGTTGAAATAGTTATTATTTAAGGAAAAAGTAATTATGGTGAGTGGCAAATTGCTGAAAAACAGGATTTGAAACACAATTTAGTCTGTTTCCTTTTCTTCAGTAAGAAATTCCCAGAGTAACTTCCCATTTTAAAGTTTCTTGAGGGTTTGATTGCTTCAAAGTAATTATTGATCTAAAGTCTGGTGAAATACGTTTTGAGTAAAATTCTTAAAGCTAAATGGAAGTTCCTAATGCAGCCACGAAGGTGTCCATCACCTCTCGCATCCTCTGTGTGCGAGCCTGAACTGAGCTGATCTTACGCAGGACGGCTTCCTGGCGGTGGTGACGAGGTGCAGGCAGCAGGGAGCAGGGAGTCGGTGATGCTCGCCGCTGACTTGCACAGACCCCTCCCTTCTCTGGGCCTCCAGCTTCGACACTGGGAGTTGTGAAAGACACTGTAGCGAACAACTCATTTTCGTTCAGATCTTATTTTAGATACTTTATGTGGAAATAGGCACTGACTTGAAGGTGCAGGGACAGTGGAGCCAGGGTGCCGGTGCGGGGGGTGTCGCACCTGTAGGGAACACCGTGGTTGAATCTTACTGGCTTATTTTGGCTCAGAACATAGTAGGACTGGGCCTTGCTTCCACTGATACATACTCTGTTAATATTTCACTAGTGGGGATTTTCACACTGTCAGTGAGTCGGGGCAGAGCGTCTCGGTCCCTCCTCTGCTGTGCAAGCGTGCGTCTGGCTAGGTTGTTTATGAGTTCTCGTCTGCTGCTGCGCCTGGGAAGACTTCTCCTTCAGCTCTGGCTCAGCGGTCACCGCAGCCCCCTGCCTGTAGTTGGGAGGAATCTTGAACATTGCCGAATGTCCTCACAGTACTCAAAGGGCTCACCTTGAATGTCACTTGCCCAGTCTTCAGCCCCCTGTCTTATAGAGAGGTACAGTCACTCGCTCACAGGTCTCGGCCTCAATCAGACTGCTGCCCCGCTAAGGAGACTCGCATGCCGCCGCACCTCACAGGGAGAGCCGTGCCCGCTGCCCTCGGAATCCTGGCCGCTTCCCTGCCGGGTCCTATCCCGATGAGACAGCAAAAGAGCAAAGCACCCAGACCTGTCTGCCCAGGGCCCCCAAAACCCACCTGAGCCCCCCACTGGGGCCAGATCACCTGGCTCCCACTTTCCTTCCAGCTGCTGCCATCCCTCTGAGGCCACGGTGCGTCCACAGCTGAGGGTGAGGTGCCAGCGCTCCTCAAGGACACTGCTGGGCCGTGGCCACAGTGCTCTGGGGCTCTGCACTCACTGTCACACCCTCAGCTAATGCAACGGATGTGTGTCTCGTCTTTTTCTTTCCCAGCCGCCCGGTATTTATCAAGCATCATGCACATCAAAGAGCAGCCATGTAGACTCCTGCAGGACTTGGCTAACGATGTTTGGAAATGAGCAAATGCTCTGAAAAATATCACCACCAAATGATTCTGTCAGCGCTGTGTTTACACGCATGGTCCCACACCCCCTGGTTGGGTTTTGTTTTTCTGGTTTTATGGGGGGGGGCGCTGTTTCACATTACATTCATATCTGTATGCGTATCTTAATTTGTTTCACTTCAAATGTATCATGGCAAATGTACAGATTTTTTGTTAATAATGTGCTAGGATTTGCTAAAAAAGAAAAAATAAACCCTTTTGAGTTTGCCCTAGAATAAAGGACACTTAACTCCGTTCCTGCATTGACGCATCTTCCTCAGTACCGTGCTCTGCGAGGAGCGTGTGCTATCTCCCTGATGTCAGGACACGGCCACGCCTGCAGCGTCGAGGGGCCTCCATCCCGGGCTCTTCCTCGGGATGGAAACAGGCCACCCTGAGGGACTGTCCCACCCGGGTAGGGCACTGGGCACTGCTCTGCGATGTGTGTGGACGGGGAGCTGCACGCGCAGGGCCTCCGTGGCCGGGCCCTCGTCTGAGCAGGTGTGCGGAGTGTCCGAGCCGTGGGCTGCTGAGGCAGGCCGTCCTTGCTTGGGCTGTGGGGAAGGGCTTGGAAGGGGCTGACAGCTGGTTGGGCGTGGTCTTGGGAGGGACACGTGTACCGCACCAAGGCACCAGCGCCCTTCTTTGAAGGCCTACTTTTATTGACTGAGTTTTCCATCATGTGCCTGGTGCATTTCAAGTGTCACTGCCCAACGACTGTGAGTCTCCTTTCCCCATGACCCACCCTTCCCACCTGTTTGACATGTGACCAGAGTGAGATGGGCTGTAGATTCCTGAGTTCAAATCTCAGCACCCCCCCTTTTCTTGCTTGGTCAGGCCCTGTCACTTCCTGCCCAGTCTTTTCAATGATAGGTGGGACCAAGAACTACACAGAAGGTGCGGAGAGGGTTCATAGAGATGGTGTCATGAAGCAGCTGGCAGAGGAGATGCTGCAGAGCGCCCGGCCCCGTCTCCTGCGTGGAGTGGGGGACAGTGCCCGAAGGTGAGGCCTCCCCTGTCCCGCCCGTGTGGGGAGCCCATTGATGAGCAAAGGTGGAAACCCCCAGGGCAGGGACCTACCGCATTCGGGCAGGGCGGGCCAGGCCGCTTTCTGTATTTGGATCTCCAGCCCCTGCTGCTCTCCCGTACCCAGGCCCCAGGAAGGCCATCTTTCAGAGCGCCACGGGCCCTGGTTGTGGGTGGGAGTGTACAGGCCGCTTCGGTCGGGGTCTTGGAGGGATTTCAGTGAGCTCTCCAGGAAAATGAACATTTCCACTCTGTAAGTTTGCACTTAGTTGTGCATTATGTGCCAGTGAGTCCCAGTGGGCCGTGGCCCCTGGCAACCCGACGGATGAGTGACACCCACAGGGCCCTGTCCTTGACAGCCCTGCTCGGCTGTGGACGCAGCCTGTGCATCAACGTGACTCGTTTCATCTTCCTCCTGTCCTGCTGCAGCTGTCTTCCCCCGCATCACGGTCTCTCCCAGAGAGCCCGCCTTCGCGCGGCAGTGCCAAAGCAGGACAGCTCCCGTTCTGGCACGTTTGCCTCCGGCGGCGGTTCAGGCTTCGTTTGCTTTCCTGGACTCGCTCATCTTTCTGGTGGGTCAGGGTATGCGTAGAGCTGTCCTCCAGCATCATGTTTCAAACCAGTTCATGCTCTGTCAGCCTTCTGCACTCCACTTCCTCATGTACACAGTCATGGGGGAGATGAGAGTGTGGACGGTCTCGGCCTTGGTCTAGGGGCACGGGTGTGCCCTCGGTGAGCTGTCCTGAGTGTGGATGGTCTCGGCCTTGGTCCAGGGGCACGGGTGTGCCCTCGGTGAGCTGTCCTGAGTGTGGACGGTCTCGGCCTTGGTCTAGGGGCACAGGTGTACCCTCAGTGAGCTGTCCTGAGTGTGGACGGTCTCGGCCTTGGTCTAGGGGCACGGGTGTGCCCTCAGTGAGCTGTCCTGAGTGTGGATGGTCTCGGCCTAGGTCCAAGGGCACGGGTGTACCCCCGGTGAGCTGTCCTGAGTGTGGACGGTCTCGGCCTAGGTCTAGGGGCACGGGTGTGCCCCCAGTGAGCTGTCCTGATGCTCCGTTGCTGCCCTCCGAGTGTCGCCTTCTCTTGACTCCGTGGCTGCAGTCTCCATCCGAGTTGATGACTGAACAAGCTAAGCAGAATCTTGAACAATTTCGTTGTCTGTAGTCTGTGTTAAAGTCGTGAGTTTCTTCAGTGGTCATGACGCTTGCCTGCTGGTCAGACGCAGTCCGGCTGTGGCGTTTCTCTTTCATCGAAGTCCTTTCAGGTCTTTGCTGCTTTCTGCCAGGAGGACAGGCCGTCTGCATGTTCTGAGTTACTGATGCTTCCACCAATTTTTGCTCATAGAAGTTTGCAGAGCACCCTCCCCCCCAGCTGTTGTTGACATTCTTGTATCCTCAGTGGGAGAGGGGGGCTGACAGGCAGCATTAACATTGGTGCAGCACGAAGACTTTTCAAGAATTCTCATCCGTGTCATCTTAACTGGTTTTCACATCAGCTGTGAGATGCAAACAAGGGCTGTGCTGTCAGGTTCAGTTTCCCGGCGAGGAGCGCAGGCCCGAGGAAGTCGCCAGTTAGTGGTGAATGGAGCTGAGGCCAGAACCCAGGCTCCTGCCTCTGGTTGCCTCCTCAGGCCTCCCACCCTCCAGGCACGACAGAGTCTTCTGGGGGCTGGCCCTGGCCGGTTTGGCTCAGCGGTTAGAGCGTCGGCCTGCGGTCCAGAGAGACCTGGGTTCGGTTCCCGCTAAGTGCATGTACCTCGGTTGCAGTTTGTCCCCGGCCCTGGTTGGTCGTGTGGGTGGCAGCCACTCGATGTGTCCCTTTCACATCGATGTTTCTCTCTTCCTCTCTCTCCCTCCCACTCTGTCTGAACAAAAAATGGGAAAATGTCCTCAGGTGAGGGAAAAAAAAAAAAAAAGAATCTTCTGGGGGGCTTATGAAGCAGAAGCTGCCCCCCCCAGTGTTGCTGATTCTGGAGGGCCAAGGTGGGTCTGGAAACCTGCATTTCTAACAAGTTTCAGCAATGCAGATGCTGCTGGTCTGTGACCACAGTTTGAGAACCATTGCAGAGCATTGTCCTTAAAACACGACAGGGCCCGTGGTCCCCAGCTGTGGGACCATCGTTGAGACAAGCTGTTGCGGAAAGTAGCTCTGGGCTTCAGGACTGTCAGCCAGATGGTCACTGACATTTCGGAGGAGTCGCTGGTCATGAACAGCACCCAGGTGGGTTGTGAAGGAGCAGTGGGGTGCCATGTAGGCGTGTCCGGGCTCACAGGACACGCCTCCCCTGGGACCAGGTAACCGCTGGGGTGGGGGCTCTTCCCCCCGCTCTCAGCCCCTCTCCATCCTCCAGGATTTATTAACTCATACTTCAGTGGCTCCGGGCAAGAATGGACAAAGGTCATGTGAATGAGCATCTAGTCTTAGATTATGTATTTAAAAAACATTCGAATGCTCCCACACCAGGGCCCTCACCAGCGCTGACTGCTCCGGGCCTCTCTGGGGTGCTGCATCCCTGGGTGAATTCCTGACAGCTCCTGGACGACCCTGCAGCCCAGACACAGCTCTAGGTCCCCGTGTCTGGAGCCCAGGACAGCTCACGGCCTGGAAGGGGAAGGGGAAGGCCCCGCTCGGGTTTAGGAAGTCTGGGTCTGATCGACTTGGAGTGTTTCAGGGTCTGTGACTTGAGCCAAATGACACTACCTCAGTGTCTTCCTCAGTGTAACTCGAAGGGGAGGATGGGGGCGTGGGTGGTGGTGGAGTGTGAGGACTAACGAACTGTGTGGGAAGCCCGACACGGTTCTCGGACCCCTCCACCGACATCAGCTCTCACAATCCTTATATTAGCACTAACACCACTATTATGGGGGGACCTGCCTCGATTTCTGACACACGTGATGCCCAGTGAGTGTTTGGACAAATGAAGGAATGACTGTCTCAGCCCCTTGAAACCCGGCTTTGAACCCCAAACCGCTAGGACGCCAACAACACGACTCACAGTGAACAGCTTAGGATGTGAAAGGGGGGACGCGTCAGCCTCACAGGCAGCAGGCGGGCTCGCCGCGCGCTCATTCCATTTTAGGAAGACGGCTTTGTCTATTTTATGATTGTCAGAGGCGTTTACAAGAAGTAACCTACTGTTTCCCTTCTGTTCGTGAACTATGAGGTTTAGTTTGGCTTACATGACGTACACTGTTTGTGCGCACAGGGAATTTTCACCTTCAGTCATGGTGATGATGTTCTAGGTCACAGTTTGGGTGGTGGGCTCGTGGGTGTCAGTTTTATTTTTATAGCTCGTAACTGACAAGCATGTTATACAGCAAGTCCTCAGACAACACTTTTGTTCAACATTGTTTTGTCTGAACGTTACTGAGAGGCTGTAGACACCTAACTTGTTTATATTAGTTAGCCTGTGGTTAAATTGGTTTTGTTTTACATTATTTTGCTTAGAGTTGCAAACCTATTGATAATGTTAAGGGAGATCTTACTTTATATAGCTTTTTGGGTTTTGGGTTTTTGTTTTGCATTATCCGATATTTCATAATTTAACAAAAATGTGTGCAGGTACTAAGTTACAAGGTGATTTAGCGGAGTCTCCTGTTAGTTCTTTGGATTTTCATAGACACAGAAACCCCCCAATTGTTTAACTTTTGCAGGAAACTCATAGACCCCCGAGAATACACCTGTGGCCTTTCACTCAAGGAACACCACACTACCTGCCCAGTGTCGCAGCGGGCCTGGGTCTGAGGAGGACTCGGTATAGGACATCCCCGCCATGTCTAGGACACTCTGCGCATGGCAGTGGGGGAGGGGAGCACAGATCTCCTTCTCCCAGGCTCTCAAGCCCCTCGTGCCCCTGAACACTAGGAAGGCTTTGTCCCCTTTGGCTCCTGCTCCTGCTCCGTCCACTCCTCTCCCACCTAGTTTTGCCGCCTGCTGAAGTCCAGAGGGAGCGACGGCTCTGACACTGTTCATGTTGTTCTGGATCGCAGCGTCCTGCTGTCTGTCAGTCAAGTCTGAGGCCCTGGTACTCTGTGTGAGACATTCTCCAAAAAGATGAAAAAGAGAGCCCAAGCGAGCCCCACCAGAGAGGAAAGTGCAGGGAGGGACAGCCATGCTCGGAGCA